TGGAATATATTTGGCGATAGAAAGGGATGACCTACCGATAGAGGCTGTAACATGGATGACCTTTGAAAACATTATGCTAAGAGAAGAAATCAGCCAGAAGAGATTCCATGTGTATGAAATGTCCAGAAGTGGCAAACCTATGTGGGCAGAAAGACTAAGAAAGATCGCTTAGGGCTGGAGGTGAGGGACTTGGGCATGACTGCACATGGGTCTGGGGTTTCTTTTTAGGGGATGAAATGCTCTAAAATTGATTGTAATGATGGTTGAACAACTTCATGGAATCGTCAGAACCACTGAATTGCACACCTTACATTTATTCATTTAGGAGGATCTCACCATGTTGCTTTGAACTTCATCCTCCATCTCAGCCTTCTGAGTAGTGGGGACTACAGGCATGTGTCCTGACACTGGGCTTGAACTGGACTGTGGACTGTGGACTGTACATGGATTGACACGTGGATTATATCTCAATAAAGCAGTTTTAGAAATTATCAAGGCTGGCAGAGTGGCACACAGCTTTATCCRCCCCCCCCACCTGGGAGACTGAGGCAAGAGGAGTGTTTGAGTCCAGGAGGTCAAGGCCAGCCTGGGCAACATAGTGAGGCCCCATCTAACAAAGAAGTCATTGTGAATGATTGTGGATGTTCAAGAAGATTTGATGATGGTGACCACGAGCACCATGTATGTTCCATTCAGCTTAGGAAGCAGAAATCAATCAGTGACAATCCCTGCTACCTGTGTCCTGCCAGGTGTCTTCCATACTGGCTAGGAGATGACAATTCCCAGCAGTTTGTAACATTGTTCTTTTTTTAAACCTCTTTAGTGGTTTACAGTTGGTGCATTATAGTTGTATGTAATGGTAGGATTGTTACATATTCGTATATGCACACCGTATAACAATATAGTTTGACCAATATCCCTCTCCAGCACATCCCCACTCCCCTCCTCTCACGCCCTGTACCCCTCCCTCCATTTTACCGATCTCCCTTTGCTTTTCATGGGATCACCTGCCGCCTTTCTTTTCCTTTTTCCTCTCTATCTTCCACATATGAGAAAACATATGGTGCTTCACCTTTTGAGTTTGACTTGTTTCACTTAACATGATGCTGTTTTTTGTTTTGGTTCCAGGGATTGAACTCAGGAGTACCCTCAACTACTGAGCCATACCCCCAGCCTTATTTTGTATTTTATTTAGAGAGAGGGTCTGAGTTGCTTAGCACCTCACTGTTGCTGAGGCTGGCTTTGAACTCGAGACCCTCCTGCCTCAGCCTCCCACAGGCGTGTACCACCACACTCACCTATTTAATTTGACATGGTGTTTTCTAGTTCCCTCATTTTCCTGCAAATGACGTAGTTTCATTTTTCTTGATGGCTGAGTAAAACTCCAACATTTTCTCTATTCACTAATGGACACTTAGGCTGGTTCCATGGTTTAGCTATTGTGAATTGTGCGGCTATACACATGGGTGTGCACAGATCACTGTAGTATGATTTTAATTCTTTAGGATAAATCCTGAGCAGTGGGATAGCTGGGTCACATGGTGGGTCCATGCCTAGTCTTTTTTTTTTAAATATTTTTTTAGTTGTAGATGGACACAATACCTGTATTTGATTTATTTATTTTTATGTGGTGCTGAGGGTGAACCCAGGGTCTCACACGTGTAAGGCAAGCGCTCCACCACTGAGCCACAACCCCAGTCCCACCATGCCTAGTCTTTTGAGGAACCTCTATACTGATTTACATATTGGTTGTACTAATTTACAATCCCACCAACAGTTTAAAAGTGTCCCTTTTTCTCCACATCCTCTCAGTATTTAATATTATTTGTTTTCTTGATGACTGCCATTCTTGCTAAAGTGAGATGGAATCTCAATGTAGTACTAATTTGCATTTCTCTAACTGCTAATGATGTTGGATATTTTTTTGTATATTTGTGTTTTTTAAAATTTTTTTAGTTGTAGGTGGACACAGTATCTTTATTATTTATTTTTATGTGGTGCTGAGGATCAAACCTAGTGCCTCAAATGTGCTAGGAAAGTGCTCTACTACTGAGTTACAACCCCAGCCCCTCTAGTAACATTTAAAAAAAAWTTTTTTGTAGGTGGAAAAAATTAATTTATTTTTAAATGGTGCTGAGGATCGAACCCACGGCCTTACATGAGAGAGGCAGGTGCTCTATCACTGAGCTATAGCCCCAGCCCCAGCCCCCTTTTTTTTTGTATATTTGTTGGCCATTTGTATTTCTTTTGAGAAGTGTCTGTTTAATTCATTTGCCTATTGATTAATTGGGTTATTTGGTATTTTTGGTGTAAAAGTTTTTTTKATTTCTTTATATAGTTTAGATGTTAATCCTCTGACTGAAAAGTAGCTAGCAAAGAGTTTCTCTCTTCATATTCTTAATTGTTCCCGTTGAAGTGCAGAAGCTTTTTAATTTGATGCCTCCCCATTTATTAACTCTTGTCATATGTCCTGAGCTTTAGGGGTCCTATGGAGAAGGTCGTTGCCTGTGCCTCTATGCTGGAGTATTGACTCTACCGTTTCTTCCAGGAGTTGCATAGGGTGAGGTGGTGCACACCTATAATCCCAGAGACTCAAGAGGTTGAGGCAAGAGGATCACAAGTTCAAACCAAGCCTCAGCAACTTAGTGAGACTCTGTCTCAAAATAAATAAAAAGGAGGGCTGGGRATGTGGCTCAAGTGGTAGCGCACTCGCCTAGCATGCATGAGGCACTGGGTTCGATTCTCAGCACCACGTAAAAATAAAAAAAATAAAGATACTGTGTCCACCTAAAACTAAAAAAGAAAAATTAAAAAAAAATTTTAAAAAGACTAGGGATGTGGTTCAGTGCCTTAAGTTCAATTACTGGTATTCCCCTCCAAACCCCTGCAAAGGGAGAGGTGGGGGGAGGAAGGAAGGGAGAGAAGGAGAGAGAAGGGTCTAGTCTCCTTCTACATACCAGTTTCCCCAGCACTTTTTGTTAAAGAGGCTGTCTTTTCTCCAGTGTATATTTTTGGCATCTTCATCTAAGATCAGATGACTGTATGTGGGTTTGTGTCTGTGTCTTCTATTCTGTACCATTGGTCTCTGTGTCTGTTTTTATTCAGTACCATGCAGTTCTTGTTACTATAGCTCTGTAGTATAATTTGAAGTCAGGTATGCCTCCAGCATTACGTTTTTTGGCTTAGAATTGCTTTAGCTATTCTGGGTCTCTTATTATTCCAAATGAATTTTAGTACTGTTTTTTTCTAGTTTTGTGAAGAATGTCATTGGCATTTTGATGTGGGTTGCATTGAATCTGTATACTGCGTTTGGTATAGTAGGGTCATTTAACAATATTAACTCTGCTTATCCATGGACAAGGGAGGTCTTTCTTCTGAGGGCTTCAATTTCTTTCTTCAGTGTTTTATAGTTTTCATTGTAGAAATCTTTCACCTCCTTGGTTAGATTCATTCCTAGGGTTTTGGTTTTGTTTTTCAAGGTCGTGAATGGGCTTTTTTTTTTTTTTTCTGGTTTCTTTCTCAACAGATTCATCCTTGGTATATAGGAAAGCTGTTAATTTTTGTGTGGTGATTTTGTAACCTGCTCCTTTATCAAATTTGTTTATTAGCTCTAGCAGGATTTGGGTGGGGTTTATTGGATCTTTTAGGATCATATAATCTGCAAACAGTGATAATTTGACTTCTTTCCTGTTTTTTCATTTGTATTTTTTGTAGTTGTAGATGGATAGCAAGTATTTATTTTATTTGTTTAGTTTCATATGTGGTGCTGAGGATCGAACCCAGGGCCTCACACAGGCTAGACAAGCACTCTGCCACTGAGCTACAGCCCCAGCCCCTCTTTCCTGTTTTCCTTCCTTTTGTTTCCTTCTCTTGCTAATTGCTCTGGCTAGAATTTTAAGCACTATATTAAATAGGAGTTGAGAGTCGACATCCTTGTCTTATTCCAAATTTTATGGGAAATGCTTTCAGTTTTCCCCCATTTATTATTAAGATTGGCTTTGAGTTTTTCAGACATAGCCTTTATGATTTCTTCTGTCCCTCAGTTTTTCAGTGTTTTTATCATGAATAGTTACTGAATTTTGTCAAAGGCTTTCTCTGCATCAATTGAGATGACTAAGTGGTTTTTTTGTCCTTAATTCTACTATGTGATGAAGTACATTTATTGATTTAAATAAATAATAAACCATCCTTGCATCTCTGGGAGAAAACCAACTTGGTCATGATATACAGTCTTTTTAACATGTTGTTGAATAGGATTTGCTAAAATTTTGTCAAGGATGTTTGCACCTAAGCTCCTCAGGGATGTGGACTGTAGTTTCTTTTCCTTGGGGTGTGCACAATGTTGTTCTTTGTGAATCACCTGTACCTGCTCCTCGAGGAGTAGAGTGCATCAGGGGTCTTGGGGCTCAGGCAAAACAGGGTAGAGTTGGCATTACAGTCACCTGGGCTTAGGAGGGAAGGGAAGGGCCAGTTGTGGGGGGTGGAGACCAAACCATCTGGAATGCATCAAATTAAGGGGCAGTGTTTGTCACACCATGACAGAGCTATAGACCTGGGAAAAAAAGAGCTGTGGAGTCTGAGTTTCTGCCTATTGCTACCCTTAGGAGAGTCACTTGTGTGACTCAGAGACCTACTAGGGCTTTGGTGATGGTCGTGTTGCACATGGGTACTTCTAAAAGGCCCTGGCATGAGTATAGGATGTGGAGTAGTTCCCGAGCTGGCAGCAGGGTTGAGGGTCAGCTTTCTGCACACTGTGGACACACTAGGTGCTCATTACCCGCTGGGTGGAGAGGCGGGAGGAGAGTATTGGATGGGTGGAGAGATCAGTGGGTGTCAGAGGAGGATGGGGGGACGGAGAGTTGGCTGGACGGTGGTGAAGGCGAGAGGCAGAGGATGAGTGGACCAGTGACCAGTGATGAGGGCAGCTGGCAGGGCCATGGACAGGGCGGCCCGCCGGCATCTTCCCCTGCTCACTACTTGTCATCATCCTTGGCTTTCAGCTCCGGGCGGCAGAAGTGGAAATCAAAGATCTGCAGTCAGAATTCCAGCTGGAGAAGATAGATTATCTGGCCACTATCCGTCGCCAGGAGCGCGACTCCATGCTCTTCCAGCAACTTCTGGAACAGGTGCAGCCCCTGATCCGCAGGGACTGCAACTACAGCAACCTGGATAGGATTCGGCGCGAGTCATGCTGGGATGAGGAGAGTGGCTTCTGGAAGATCCCAGAGCCCATCATCATTAAAACCAGCCTTCCAGTAGGTCAGGAGCTCAGCTGCCCCATGGACCTCCCTGCCTCCTTCACAGTTGGCCGCTGTGCAGAGGGAAAGGGAGCCTGGCCTCTCCCTGCAGGTTTTGGGTGCAACAGATGCATGACCCTGGGCACCCCACATGCTGGGCCCCTGGGAGGGTGGCATGCTCTGGAGGCCATGATGTAGGTTGGAATTCTGGCTGCACCATTCCTTGGGTGACCCCTTGGGGACTCAATGTCCTCATCTGTGACATGGGATGAATAATAGGACCTTCCTTAGAGTTGCTGAGAGGGTTATGACATATTCAGACATGTGGAAACCTTCAAGCACTGCCTGGCATGGGGTGCATGGTCCCTGGTGTCATTACCATTGTCATCATTGTTCCACTCCATCCCTACATCAGCCCTGCCAAGGGTGATGGTCACGACGCCTATCACACATGCAGGGAAACCAGTCTCACAGGGTGTGAGTGACTTACCCGAGCTTGAAAGCCTGGCAGTGAGCCGCAGCAACGCAGAGGGAAGCCAGCTGTTCAGGGCTTGGGCCTGGTTCAGCCTCTGCTTTGGTCGCTGACCTCCTGTGTGACTTTAGGAAGATCACTCGCTGACCTTCTCTAGGCTTCTTGACAAAATCAGGGGTTGGGTGAAACAATCTTAAGGACCCATCCACCTTGGCCGAGTCTCGGAGTAAAGTCAGATTTGCTGTGGCGCTCTCTCTAAAGAAAACACAAAGAGAGACAGAGAAGCCAGCAGGGGAGGGGCGAAGTAAAAGGGCTGCTCGCTGAGCTGCCAGCTTTATTGATATCCATAGGTTACATTAGCCCTGTTGGCATCATTAGAACCTATGCTCGTTGTATAAAGTTACTGTCCTGTGGGCAGGTGTAGGCGCAGGGACACATGGTGTTGTCTGAGAGAGCTCCTTTAGCCCCAGAAGCTGAGTGTCTGAGACCAAGGTTGAGGCTGATAAGACTCTAGCACAGAGCCTCCTCACCAAGGACATTACCATAGCAGCTAGGCCCTGAGCATGTATGAGTCATCTTACGGGTTCCAGGGAGAAACTGTGGAATATTCCAAGTGTGAAAAACAGGGCACCTGTTACCCTCCGGGAGTTTGCTCACCAAAGGAACGCTGCCTTGTACATCTCCACAGCCAGAATCTTTATGGCTCTCCCCAAGCACAGACCTGGGGAGTCACAAGCTCCCCCTGGCCAGTGTTGGTTCAGGGCCTCACCCTCCGGTTAAAACTCCAGCTCGCTCCACTTCCCATGAGCTCTGGGCAGCAGCTGAATCTCTCCCTTCCCCCACTTTTCTCCCTTCCCCCACCCACCCATCATCCTGGAAGTGGGAGAGTGGCTTTTCTGGCATCTGAGCACTCCCAAGGACATTCCTTAGGTGGGACTGGGATGTGGCTTTTTCTAGCCCAAGCCTGGCTTGACCCCACCTCTGGGACAGTACCCCACCTGTTCCCTTCCACCATCGGCTTTTCAGCTCTTGTTTTCTCATAGCAGTTCCAACTGGGCAACAGAACAAGTCAGCCCGCAAGACCTCTGCACCTGACAACGGGGAGCCAAACATGGTAAGGCCCATGGGAGCGGGCAGGGTGGGATGGGGTCTCTGCTCCCACAGCGAAGGGGCCAGTGTTGCCACTGGGAAGGGGGCTACTTTCATCATGCCTAAGGATTGAAGCAAGGGCTGAGCATGGATCTTTTCTTTTCTTTAAATTTTTTAAGTTGTCAATGGACCTTTATTTTATTTATTGATATGCGGCTGAGAATCTAACCCAGTACCTCACACATGCTAGGGAAGCGCTTCACCACTGAGCCACAACCCCAGACCACTGAGCCACAACCTCAGTCTGAGCCTGGATCTTTTCTGTCACTCATTGGCACCTGGACTTCAGTCCCCTCTGGCCCTCAGTCAGGGGCACATATGCTCCAAAGGACCAGAGGAATGGTAGACAGCTGGGGGCAGCCTGTCCTACTGGTGTCTAACAGAGGCTTGAGCCTCAACCCTAGAAGACAAATGGCACCTTCTCATTCCCTGGACCCTAGTTGGTCACCAGGGCCAAAATGGTCCTCAGAGTGCCCACGAGCAGTGGTTGGGATTCTAAAGTCATTTAATTTCATAGCTCCCATGTTTTGTAGCGCAATAGTCAYGTGGATCCTTATATAGCAGGAGTCACAGTCCTTTTCTGAAAAGGACCTGAAAATAAACGCTTTAGCCTTTGTTGGCCATATGGTCTCTGTCACAACTCCTCAACTCCATCACCCTAGCACAAAACCAGCAATAGATGGTACATAAATGAATACTGTGTTCTAATAAAACTTTATCTACAAAATAGTCTATGGGCCAGATTTGCCTGTTGGCTGTCATTTGCTGACCCTTGCCTTAAGTCATTATGAACGTTTCAGAAACGCACACAGATCATACAGTTCCAGTACGTCCAGCCAGGCTCCTCTGCCTGAGCAGCACAGGGTGGCCTCTTGTGCTGGTCTGGAGCTAGACTGGCTGCTTTGATGGCTTAACTTCATGGAAAAGGCAAAGTTGCTGTAAAACAAAGCAAAACATTCTTTTTTTCCCCCCTGCCTTTGTATGTTTTTGTTGGTGCATTGTAATTGTACCAAAGAGGGGGGTGATATTAGTATTTGCACATAACAGGTTGGTCACAGTACTTCCCCTTTCTCTCCCTTTCCTCTCACCTTGGTCCCCTTCTTCTACTTTACCAGTATCCCTTCTAACATCAGTATTTTTGTTAAGTTAGTGCATCATAATCATGCGTAACAGTGGGATGCATGTGGTATACTGCACATGGAAATAGCATAATTTGGTCAGTTTTGTCCCCTAGCACCTCCCCTGTCCTCCTCTGTCCCTCTCAATCCCCTTTATTCTATTGCTCTCCCTTCTAACTAATAGTGATGTGTGCATATCAGTTTTTCAGAGCAGTGCAGTTTATAATAGCCAAGTTATAGAATCAGAYTATATGTCAATCCAACAATGAATAAATAAAAAAAGAGCGTATAGGGCTGGTATATAGCTCAGTGGTAAAGCGCTTGCCTCACATATGTGAGGCACTGGGTTCGATCCTCAGCAGCACATTAAAAAATAAATAAAGGTATTGTGTCCATCTACAACTAAAAAAAAATTTTCAAAAAATACAGTGTCTATATACAATAGAGTTTTACCCAGCCACAAAGAAGAATGAAAAGAAGAATGAAACTGAGTCATTTACTGGCAGATGGATGGAGCTGGCGAACGTGATGCCAAATGAAACAAACCAGACTCAGGAAGTCAAGGGTCAAATGTTCTCTCTCATTTGTGGAAGCTGTCATCAGTGATATCTGGGATTCTCAAAGTAGATCCTAAAAACTTCTGTTCAGTTCACATCCACAGACTTTGCATAGCACTCTAGGTCAGGGTGTTTGGGGAGACGAACTATGCTTGTCTGAAGGAGTTTACAGTCTCACTGAGGAGCCTGTTCCTGCTGCTTGAATCCCAAGCCATGCAACTTTCCTCTAAGCTGCCACCTTGAATCTCTCTCAAAAATGAACAGTCTTAACCTGCAACCACAAAAAGATTATGTGAAAGCACTTCTAGTTCCAAGAGACAGATGTCAAATAGTCACAAGCAGCCAGTGTGGTGGTGCATATCTATAATCCAAGTGAATGGGAGGCCAAGGCAGGAGGGTCACAAGTTCAAGGCCAATCTCAGCAATTTAGCAAGAACCTGTCTTAAAAAAACAAAGAAGGCTGGGGATGTGGCTCAGTGATAGAACACTCCTGAGTTTAATCCCCAGTACCACCACTAACAAAAAGTTTATTGGTTCATATAAGTAGACTAATTTCAGGCATGGCTGGATGTAGGGGCCCAAACTGTGAGGGTTTTATGTCTTTTCCTCTTGTTTTTGGTACGCTTTCTCCACAGCGTGGGAAAGATGGCCTGCAAACTGTTATGGTCCCTTAAAATCTCACTCTGAAGCTGGTGGAAAGGTTCTCATTAGCTCTGCCCAGGTTATGGGCCTATTCTTGGGTCAATTACTTTGTTCAGGAGGATGATGCTCTGTGATTGGCCCAGTGTGGGTCACGTGTCTGGCCCTGTAGCACAGGGCCCTGTGGATGATCACCCTACTGGGAACCTGGTGAGGGACAGAACGGAGAGAGTCAGTCTATGACAGCAGTGAGGAGTGTCTGTTCTGGGTGACGGAGAGGTCAAGATGCCAGTCACAGTGGTCATAAGGGTAGCTGCGGGCTGAGTACTCTATTCCTTGTGCTGTGGAGTTTGGGCTCTGTATCACCCTTGCCCCTGCTGGAGCTGGCAGGAGGGAACAAGGTACTCCCCATCTCAAGGGAGGGAAGGCAGGTGTGGGCCTGGCTGTAGACGACYGCCTGATCCCCAGCTGCCTGAGTTGCTCCTGGGGCTCCAGGGTCTGTGGCAGGGTGTGCTGCCATGGGCCATGGTCCCTCCAGCCCTCTGGTGCAGCCTGGGGGAGGCTCAGGCCAGCCCCACTCCACCAGGCTTCTGGAGGCTGCTGAGCCCCAGGCAGGGGGCCCAGATCAGCTCTGCGAAGATGAGGGGTCTTGACCCACTAGGATTTGACATCTCAGCAGGAGGAAGACCGCTACAAGCTGATGCTCAGTCGGAGTGACAGTGAACATATTGCCAGTAACTACTTCCGTCCCAAGCGGGCCAACCAGATCCTCAGTTCAGATCCCATGAAGAGCCTCAGTGAGTGTTTTGTGCACCTGTTCCCCTCCCCCACACCTAGGAAAGGCATGGGGGGTGGTTCTGGAGTTGGATGGACCTGGGTTCAAAACACCTTTCCCTCCATGAGCCTTGTGTTTTTTAGCAATAAAATGAGTGGGATTAGAGGAGATGAGGTGGGGAAATAACCAAGCCAGGGCCTGGCACATAGTAGGTGCTTGGGAGAAGACTGTGTGGCTGGTGTCTCCCCTGCCACACAGAGGGCCCTGGCTTGGTGCTGTGGGTCGGGTCTGAGAAGGCTGCTTCACATTAGGCTGCCCAATAAACGGCCTTTTAGGCTGCCCAATAAACTGGTTACTCCCCAGCTTCCTCATGCCGGTGTGGCGACTTTCCCCAAATGAGGACTGACTCTCTTCAAGGACCACCACAAGGGCGCTGGCAGGGCAAGAGGGCATTACAGGTGTGCGCCACTGCGCCCGGCATGAATCCTAGTTCTATACAGAGGTTATGTAAGAGACTGAGTGGACTGAGGAGTAAGGGCAGGAGTCCGAAAGAAGGGACATGAGCATCAGCGGAGTCCTCCACGTTGCAGAGGAGAAAACTGAGGCTCCAAGAGGTTCAGTGACTTGCCTGAGGTTGCACAGCTAGGGAGTCGTGGGGCTGGGCTTTGAACCCCGGCTTGTCTGGCCTGAGAGCTCAGGCTGCCTCAGTTTGAGGCTTTAGAACCCCTAACCCCAGCCAGATTATTTGGATTCAGATGTAATGCTGAGATCTCAACTAGAGCAGCCTTAGACGGTCCCGCTGCAGAGCCAGGGCCTCTGGCTGGGAGGAGAGGGCTACCCGTCCTCCACCCTGCACACCCCAGGAGCTCTCTCCACGCCTGTGCGCACCAGCCCTGCCCTCTCTCCACAGCTCATCACAACTCACCGCCAGGCCTCGGCTCCCCGCTCAGCAACAACTCTGCCATCCCGCTTGCTCAGGCCCCTGAAATGCCCCAGCCCCGGCCCTTCCGCCTCGAGTCCCTCGACATCCCCTTCACCAAAGCTAGGCGGAAGAAAAGCAAAAGCAACTTTGGCAGTGAGCCTCTGTGATGGCAGCTGCCCGCTACCACCTGCCTTTAGGCTCCAAGAAACTGCTGGGCGGCCCCGCCCAGGCCTCCTCCCATCTCCCCCCACAGTGACCTGGGGCCCAGGGGGGCCCTCAGTCACTATGCCTGGGGCTTGGGGCTTGGCCCGCAGAGACTGCCTCGGAGACTGCCGTCCTCCTCCTCGTCCTCCTCGGAGAGGCCTGCCCCGGCTCCAGCTCCGCGCACCGCATCAGTGTTCCTACCCACCCTCCCACCTTGGAGCCCACAACTTGGGCCTACCAGTGTTGTCCTTTGCCTCGATGGCCTCAGAAGCTTCGGACCTGCCTTGGCACCTTCATCACCAGCCCCAGCATTTGGATGACGCGCGACATCTTCGTGACTGAAATTTGTGCCTCCATGTGATTTGCCCCCTTTCCAGAGGGAAGCCCTGCCCTGCAGGAGGGGCACTGGAAGAGGCCTGGAGGGCGGTTCCACTGGGCTGAGAAGGCTGCTTCACATTAGGCTGCCCAATAAACTGCCTTTTACAATAAATCCCCTCCCTGACCCTCTCTGACTACATCCCTGGGCCCTGCATCTCTGCGGCCATGGCAGCTGTCTGGAATGGGCGTTCACTGGCCCGAGATTTTAAAACCAGCAGGTTCCCTGCACCTGCAAACACAAAAGAGTATTTTTTTCTTTGGAGAGTGTCAGAGATTTCAAAGAATCTGTCACCCAGGGCCCCTTTGTGGAACTATTAATAGGACCAGGAGCTCACTCTGAAGAAGCTGGGGTGGGGTGCTTAGGTAGCCACAGAGGCAAGCCTCTGACTACACTACCCACCAGGTCAGAGACTTTAAGGGGAACAAAGAGCCTTTCTGAAGGGAGAGTGTTGGGTGGGGCAGGGCTCCCTCCTGTAAGGAAGGCAGAAGGTCCTGGAGGTTCAAGACAGGTATATGGGGAGGGTACTCCTGGTGGCAGAAGTTTCCTGAGCAAAAAGCACCAGGTGGCAACACTCAGCCCTGAGCACGGACAAGAGAGATGAAGCTGTAGCGATGAGTTCAGGTGCAGACTCGAGGTGAAGAAAAAACCTTTAGGTGTCCTGAGCTGTGGCAGGGGTAGGCTAGGGAGGGCAGGAAGAGGCTCCACTTGGGGTAGAGCCAGAAGGAATGAAGAGGAGGAGCGTCTGCTAGGGAAATGCATGGGGGAGGAGAGGCTAAAAGGGAAGGAATGTTCAGTCTTCTGGGACTAGGTGGAGCTCTTTCAGAGAATTTGAGCGTTTCTAGTCATGGTGGCTGGTAGGTGTCTTTAGACTTAAAAGGTTGGGTTTGAGGGGGTGCTGGGCAAGTCTAGTCAAGTTAACCCTATATTATATATAGCTCTGGGCAAAACATATCAAATGATGACCATGCCTACATATAGTACCCAGAAGAACCTGAATTAAAGGATAAGGCAACAATGATGACAGAAACAAGCCTCCTCATCCCATTCCAGTCAATTCCAGTCATCCATGGGACATCTACGGGCCCAAGTGGAGACTCAGTGTTTTCAGCAAAAGTGGCCTTCGGGTTCCTGAAGAGTGACCTAGACAAAAGCTAGTGTGTGTGTGTGTGGGGGGGGGGGGCTAATAATGTACTGCCCGGTGGCTGTGACCTTAAAAGTCAATGAAAAGGGGTGGGGTTGTGGCTCAGTGGTGGAGCACTTACTTGCCTTGCACAAGTGAGGCACTGGGTTTGATCCTCTGCACCACATAAAAATAAAGATATTGTATCCATCTATGAAAAGCAGGTGAAGCTACGGGGTTTATTTTATTTTTTTTTCCTCGCTAATGGCTTGACCCCTGGGACGGAGATGGGCAGGCAGGAGCTCGCAGTTCCCCTGACCTCGACCTTATCCCTCCTTAATCCGTCCCTGCTCTCTAGCCTCTYCTTCTAGAGGTTTGGGAGATGGGCCTCCCGGTCTGCCCTAGACTGGTGAGGACCAAGGAAGGGGCCAAGTGCCCCACTCCCCGTCCGGGACAATACCCCTTCGAAAGGGACCAGACTGCGCCAGAACCCGGCTCTGGACTAGCGGAGGAGCCGGACTGAGCGGAGCCAAAGGGCGTTCGGCCTTGATTGGTGGCGGCTGCAGAGCTGTCTCTTCAGTATTGAACCTTTTCCTCTTGGGAGGCGGGGCCTCAAGTCCCTTCTACCAATAGCATGTAAGGTGTCCGCCTCCGACTAGGGCACTTCCGGAAATGCTCCCGGCTTCTTACSGTCAAAGTCGCAGCTGTTGACGCCCGGCCGGGAGTATCTAGATCACTTCCGGTTGGTACTCCACGGCCACGAGTCGCGATTGGTCGCCTGTAGACGGGACCTTTCCGGTGTCCAGGTGCGGGTTCTTTGGCTGAAAGAAGAAAATGGAGCCGTGCACGGCGGCCCGTGCTTGGTCTCTCTTATGGCTGCTGCTACCCTTGCTTGGCTCGGTCTGCGCCAGCGGCCCCCGAACTCTGGTGTTGCTGGATAACCTCAACTTGCGGGAGACGCACTCGCTTTTCTTCCGGAGCCTGAAAGGTTTGAGAGCSGGGTCCGAGGGGGCGGCGCGTGAGAGTCAGGGGTGGGAAGGACGCCCGAGCCTGAGGGCATCACCATCCTCCCTGACACCCGCTTTTCTGGAGCAGGCGCCCAGGTGCGGCCTGCCGCCTGGAGTGGCTCGCGATATCTGCACAGGGAGGTTGGTTCCCTTTGCGTCCTGTCTGCCGTAGTTGACTGCTGTTTTTTTTTTTTTTCCCTCGTCCAGATCGGGGCTTTGAACTCACATTCAAGACCGCCGATGACCCCAGCCTGTCCCTCATCAAGTACGGGGAGTTCCTCTATGATAATCTCATCATCTTCTCCCCCTCGGTAGAAGGTAAGGGCCGCGCGTCGCGGGGATTCTGGACCCCGGACTGATCCATTGCTTTCTTCTGATTCTTGGGCAGGTTCAGGGTCTGGGGATGGGTTGCCAGCCCTGGCACTGCTGCTGCCAAGAGAAGAGAAAATGCTAATTTCTAACCTGGGCACAATTAAGGGTTGTGGGGTCAAGTGTTGCCATAGACCGTGGAACTCGGGCCCTGCTCCTCTGCAGAGAAGGAAGTTTTTTTCTGCAAAGAGTCTGATAGAATGAAGAATGCCTGATGGAGTCTGCCTGTGTGGAAAGAGGGATTGCATGTTATTAGTATGGATTAGTGTAAAGAGGCATTGTGAAGATTGGTAGTTGACCTTAACCTCCAGCTGAGAAAAAGCCTTAGCAATTAGGCTCCTACCCATTTGATAGCAGCTGGATATGTTCAGAGGCTTAGCAGAGGGCTAATTGTTGAACAGAATCTTCAAATTATCTAATAGAATATCTTCACTATTCTATTAATAGAATATCTTCACTATTCTATTAATAGAATATCTTCTTCAAATTATTCCTGGAGCAGGCCCCCAGGCCCCTTATACTTCACTATTCCTATTTTAGGAGGCAATCTATTCCATCACTGTATAATTCTGTTACAAAGTTACATTAAACTGCAACTTGTATCTATCTTTCTACTGTGTTTGTCTGGGGAGGGAGATTCCCAGCCTTCCCCAGGGTCTTAAAAAACAAATCTGGTGCTTATCTTGCTGAAAAACAGTTTTCACATGGTCATAGCCTACTTAGGTGTTTCTTCTAATATCCCCAGTTTTTTTGGCCATGTTTGTTTTGGTGAGAATGCTAGTGATTCCCTTCTTTTTTTTTTTTTTTTTTTTTAAGAGAGAGTGAGAGAGGAGAGAGAGAGAGAGAGAGAATTTTTAATATTTATTTTTTAGTTCTCGGCAGACACATCTTTGTTTCTTTGTTGGTATGTGGTGCTGAGGATCGAACCCGGGCCGCACGCATGCCAGGCGAGCGCGCTACCGCTTGAGCCACATCCCCAGCCCTGATTCCCTTCTTTATTTGCTTCTGTCTTTTCCTTGAAGGACTCATGTTACCCCTGTTTGCACTACCGTGTACCCTGCAACCCTCCCTCCCTTCAGTTGATGAAGCTTAGGACATCTTTTGCTTTGTTGACAGCTACTTTGTTTTCTGTAGTTCACATGTGATTGGGTTCTACCAAATCCCTTAAGTATTTTTCTCCAAAGGCCTGTCACTTACTATCTTGCTCCCCATTGCCCTGCAACACATGCCATTGGAACTGGCTTTTTGGAGGCAAGGGTAGTTGGGTGGATATGACCCGGACTCTTTAAGATCTTCAAATGAGAGGGCAGTTGGACTGGATCTGTGAGCAGAGTGATGGTTGTCTGCGTTTCTGCTGTATTTGGGACTTTGAAATATACACAGTCCAGTGGTTGGATAGTCCAGCGGTGAGATAATAAGGATAGAACCTGCCCTTGGGAAGTTCTTTCAGTCTGTGTTTGAGAAAATAAAGATTGGAAATGAATTACCAAACCTTGTGTCAGGATTTAAGGTGGAGTGAAAAAGCTGTCAAGTTGTGCTTTTGGAGAGACTGGGAAGGAAAGGAGCAGTGGGGAGATGGATTGGAGAACATCGGGAAAGGGAGGTGGGAGAGATGCCACCAGCCTCAGATAGTATTTCTCRGGTTAGTCACTTGGGTATCTCCTTCCTGCTTTCTACCACATTCCATGTCACTGTACTAATAAACCAACAATGAACCCGGTATCACCAGTGCAAATGGAAAGCCAGTGTCAGGTAGATGCTAACTGTGAATAGATAGACTAGAACCAGTGCTGGTAACTTCTATCGTGTATTGTTGCCTGCTACAGGTTCTCTCCTCAGAAAGGAGATTAGCAAGTATAGAGGAATTCTAATGCTGGTAACAAACTTAAGAAAAAGCTTGGAAAATAAATGGGAAGACAGTAACTTTGTGAGATTAAGCATTATTTAAAGCACTGTCCACACATCACTATTGTCAGCTTTTTTATTCTGGTGAGTGGATCCCACACCAGCAGATGCTGCTGCAGGAAGTCCTCTCAGGCACTCTTAGGGAGAAGGCTCATACTGCTTAGGGTCCAAGGTATGAGTTTGGCCCTGCTCTGGGTCCTTCTGCAGTCAGTAACCACATTAGCTCCGCCAGGTTGCAAACCTGGGCTGGCTCCCTTGTCCATGCAACAGTGCTCCCGCCCCATATGGAATTAGGAGATTCCCAGGTCATGTGCGGTAGCGGCTCAGGGGAATGACACAGGCTGCCGGCAACACTGGATTCCTGCTCTGTAGATGGGAGGTGGGCTCAGAAAGGTGCAGGGGTTTGCCTCGTTTAAGCCCAGGCTGCCTCAGTTTCAAAGCAGGTGTTCAGTGTGTCCCAGGCCTCTACCCACTAGAGGCCAGCAGGTACTTCACTGCTATTGTGATAATCACAAATGCCTTCTAGACAGTGCTCCGAGGGGTACGGTCACCCCAGGTTGAAAGCCTCTTCTATACCAAGGAGCTGTTTTGGAATAGTCTGGGGCTCTTTCTGGCCTTTGTAGGAGAGTGGCTCCTCCACAGGAGAGTGGCTAGATGGCTTTATACCTGTGATAAGAGGCAGCGTCCCCAAGAACAGAGTACTCTTTATACTTGAAGGTGAGGTGCTTTTTAATTTTTTCAGAGTCAGAAAAGGGGGCTGTTCCATGCAGACCTTCACAGAGGCCTTTCATGGACTCCTTCCTGTCCCCATGCCTAGTGGATGTCTAACAGACAAACTTCAACGTCTGGTCTTAGTAAATTGGCACTTTCATCCTTCCAGTTGCTTGGGCTCCTTGGGACTGTCCTTAATCCCTCTCTTTGGGTGGCAGCCACAGGCACCCCCTCAAGGCCCCTGTGGTTTACCTTCATGCCCATGGGAAGACCCCACCCCCACCCTGCACTCTGCTGTACTACCTCTGTGTGGCCTGGAAGCACTCATCACAGTCTGGACTTCATGGTGGCCTCCTAACCTGTCACATTTCCACCCTCACTCCCTTAGCCTGGTCTCCACACAGCCACCAGGACCATCCTGAGAAAGCACAAGTGAAGTCACATAGGTCTTCTCAGAATCCTCCCGTGGCTCCCACTGCCAAAGCCCTCACGTGCGAGGCGAGTGCTCTACCGCTGAGCCACAGCCCCAGCCTGAAAGGCAGTATTTCTAAGTGAAAGTTATATGTCACCTGAAATATGGTGCCCCGCTTGACATCCTTAGTCCCCAAACATTAGTAGATGTTTGACTATTTCCTCTAAACCTTTAAAAGTTCATGAATCTGAGGTGTTACTTGACTTGACTGAATCTTGACTTTTGGGAAATGAGGGCTCCTTTTCCAGATGGGGCACGGCAGCCCTCTCTTTCATTCTGGGCCCACTGGGGGTCCCATGTTGATGGATTGTGGCTGGTCTACAGGGGACCCCCACTCCTACCCTGAGTGTCAGGGAGCAGAGCCTGGTTACTGTGTCTGATGTTTTCTTTCAGATTTTGGAGGCAACATCAATGTGGAGACCATCAGTGCATTTATCGACGGGGGAGGCAGTGTCCTGGTAGCTGCCAGTTCAGACATAGGTAAGTTGGACCTGGGAAATTCTGGTGCTTTCCTCCATTCTCCAGGGAGCTTGGAAAGCTTCACAAATGGAAGCTGTCAAGTTGGCATTCTCTGGGTGGGCCTTGGCCAGCAGTCAGTGAGGGCTGCAGGCTGCTGGGTGCTCAGGCCCTCCTGTGCTTTGCTGTGACCGGAYAGTGAGATTCAGGGCTTGAAGGATTAGAAACCCTGGCTGGGCTTTTTTCATTGTTGGCTTTGTTTTGGGGACTGTCCCTTAGAGAGAGAAGGCCCAGATATCTAATTGATTTTTGCCTTGTTTTTTTTTTTCTTCTTTGAAGTACTAGGAATGGATCCCAGGGCCCCACACATGCTAGGCGAGTGCTCTACCACTGAGCCACACACTCAGTCCTTGTTTTCTACTTTGGAAAATTTCAGAGGTGCCTAGAAGTAGGGAGAGAGTTGCATCCTTAGTCCCCTGTGCTGATCACCCAGCTTCAGCATTCCTGGGCAGTCTGACGATGTTTTTTGTTTTTGGTGCTGGTACCAGGGCGTTTTACCACTCAGCTATATCCCCAACCTTTTTTTTTTTTTTTTTTTTTTTGAGACAGGCTCTCATAAGTTACTGAGATTGGCTTCAGACTTTTGATCCTCCTGCCTCAGCCTCCTGAGTACTGACACATTTTAAAAGTATGTTCCTTGTAATGGGGCATGACAAGGACTGGAGAAACCTGTCAACCCAGGTTCTTCACGTCAGGCTTGGCTTCAGAGGGGTTTTTTGTCAATGTGTGTTTGTGGAAGGAGACCAGGTGGTGGTTTTGTTCCATCAGTTCAGAGTGWGATCCCTGGAGGCAGAGGCTGGCCTGATACAGCTGCGGGGTACTGGTGTTGACCAGTGATGAGTGAGTCATGGGGAAGCCATGACCCTGTTTGGCTTGAGCCCACTGTAAGGGCTCAGGCAGGCATCTCTTGGGTCTTTGCAGGTGACCCTCTCCGAGAGCTGGGCAGTGAGTGTGGGATTGAGTTTGATGAGGAGAAAACAGCTGTCATCGACCATCACAACTATGATGTCTCAGACCTCGGCCAGGTAATCAGGCCCACTGCCTTCTAGACTTCTGGCATGGATGGCAAAGCTCTGCTCAGCCTAAAGACAAGAGGGAGCTAGAGGGACTCCCTGGCCCGAGGAACCTTTTCTGGACACCTCTCTTTCCCTCTGCTCTGTAGCACACGCTCATCGTGGCTGACACTGAGAACCTGCTGAAGGCCCCAACCATTGTTGGGAAATCATCTCTAAATCCCATCCTCTTTCGAGGAGTTGGGTGAGTGAGCAGGAAGAGGCCTGTAGAAACCTGGGGAAGGAAGGGTCACTTGGTTTTGGAGAAGCTAAACCAAATTTGTGATTATTTGGGGGTGTTCCCCCAGCAGATGTGGGTGGGATTAATTTCTTATTGTAGCGAGAGGAGAGCTAAGTGTTTGGCTTTTGAGAGAGAAGGATCCATCCTGGGAAGAAGTGGCCCTGGCGATCCCTCGTCCTTTGGGCTCATTCCTGGGTCAGTGTCGGGCTGCTCTTCGTTCCTTCTGCAGGATGGTGGCGGATCCTGACAATCCTTTGGTCCTGGACATCCTGACAGGCTCGTCTACCTCTTACTCCTTCTTCCCAGATAAACCCATTACCCAGGTAAGGACCTTTGCAGCCTTGACCTTCCGCCTCTTGGGCYYGGTGGCAAAGCACTTTCTTATTGGAAAATAAAAACGGTGCCGTAGGCACGCTTGCTGAGGGGACAGGGTGGAAGGAAGGGCGCGTGGGCAGAAGTGGTGTGCTCTCGGGTTCCTCCCTCAGATGAGGACACAGCCACTTAGGTGTCCAGCCTGTTGTCCTCTTGCTCTGGTGGCTTTGGCTTCACCTTGGCAGTGTGTGGGTGACCACCTCCATCTGTTCCCAGTACCCCCACGCGGTGGGGAAGAACACCCTGCTGATTGCCGGGCTTCAGGCCAGGAACAACGCCCGGGTYGTCTTCAGCGGCTCCCTCGACTTCTTCAGCGATGCCTTCTTCAACTCGGCAGTGCAGAAGGCCACGCCTGGTGCCCAGAGGTGGGGCTCCCCGGGGCGCTCACACATGGTCTGGGAGGTGCAGGTTGTTTGTGTGGAGAAGCCTGTGTGCTGTCTGGGGCTCTGGAATTCTTTGAAGATGACTTGGTTGCTTACATTGCTGTGGTTGGCACTCCACACCTCTCACGGTCGTGGGGAGCTGTTTAGAGACCAGCATTTCTTTAGAGATTTGTGTATTTACGGTGTAGGTTAAAGATTTTCTTTAACCATGGCTCCTGAGAGCATGAGGCCTACGCACAGAGCCTTGCTTAGTGTGCCATCTTGGTGACCAGGGTAGCCTGTCCCATCAGGCACCACCAGGAAGAAGTTGGCCCCGGGCGCCAGCCTCTCCTTTTCCTTCCTGCAGGTACTCCCAGACAGGCAACTATGAGCTAGCTGTGGCCCTGTCCCGCTGGGTGTTCAAGGAGGAGGGTGTTCTCCGCGTAGGACCTGTGTCCCATCATCGGGTGGGCGAGACAGCCCCACCCAATGCCTACACAGTCACTGATTTAGTGGTAAGAGCTGGTGGGGGTGGGGGCCCGGGCCCAAAGTTTTGGCCAGATTGAGTCACTTTGACTCAGAAGCATTTGTGGGTCATTTTGGTGCCTGGGCTTGGGGGCATAAAGTAGGATGAAGACATTCACCTCTGTCCCTAAGGTTGTCAGTCTAGGTGTGGAGCCTGCACTAACCCATGTCTAGCAGAAGGCCTCGTTTTGAAGATTGTGTGTCACCATGGGAGGGGGCCGCGCCACTTCACTGCCTGGGAAGTCAGGTTTATAAGGAAACGGCATTTCAGTTGGCTTTTAGGATGAGTTTGTCAGGCAAGAGAAGTAAAGCAAGGCATGAGGACAGTGACAGAGCCTGCGTGCGCATCTGGGAATGGAAAGGGCCTCCATGGATGGTCGACGTCCATGGCCAGGGATTCTGTRCCAAGCACCTTGGTCAGGCAGAGGTGCTGCGGGGCACTGGCCCTGCTGAGGAGCGCAGGACGGTGGAGGGACTCCCACGGGCTGCAGGACTCGGGAGCTCCCTGCCGTGGTGGGAGGGCAGGAGTCACGGGCAGCACTGCCTGCAGGTGTGGCACCCGGCAGCCCCGGCTGACCCAGCCTTTCCTCTCAGGAGTACAGCATCGTGATTGAGCAGCTCTCCAATGGCAGGTGGGTCCCTTTTGATGGTGACGACATTCAGCTGGAGTTTGTTCGCATAGATCCTTTCGTGAGGACCTTCTTGAAGAGGAAAGGTAGGCAGTTCCTGCCAGAGAAGGCTGCAGGGGGCAGCCCACACCTGTGCTAGCCTCCATGAGGCCTGGCAGAGAAACACTCCGGTAAACCCCTGGTGTCGCTTCTTCTCCAGGTGGCAAATACAGCGTCCAGTTTAAGTTGCCCGACGTGTACGGTGTGTTCCAGTTTAAAGTGGATTACAACCGACTGGGCTACACCCATCTGTACTCTTCCACTCAGGTATGCACAGCGGGCAGTCCCTGTCTTCAGCCAGCAATTCCCTGCCTAGGCCTCCAGTGGCCAGGGACTGCCACCTCTGTCCTGTTGCAGGTGTCAGTGAGGCCACTCCAGCACACGCAGTATGAGCGCTTCATCCCCTCGGCCTATCCCTACTATGCCAGTGCCTTCTCCATGATGGCGGGGCTCTTCATCTTCAGCATCGTCTTCTTACACATGAAGGAGAAGGAGAAGTCTGACTGAGGGGCCAGAGCCCGGGACTCTGCAGCGGAGAGCGGAGGGTTTTTACCAGGGCGAGTTGGTGATCTCGTTTTGTCTGTTTTGTTCTGAAGCCGTGGGAAACGGCACAGCCTTACCTCAGTCGGGGGGTGCAGCGTTGAGTACCAGGGGGAGGGGCCAGAGAATCATTTTTTATGCATTTTTTCCACCTTGAATTGTGGTGTTTTTCATATGTGCAGTCACTCCCATTTCTAAAATAAAGAGAACTGTTGCCCCCACACTTTCCCTGCCCGAGCCTGCTTTGCTCTCACGCATCCCTAGATGCCCACTAATAAGTGGCTCCTTTTAGTTTTGCCAAGACTCAACTAGGAAATGATCCTAACTTCTCCTCAAAGGGTAAAATAAAGTTAATACAGATGCTGGACTAAAAAAAAATTAGTACCTTGGTTGAAAAGAACCTTAAATATATATTCACCTCGCTGAAGGCTATAACTTTAAAAGCATGTGTCTAAGCAGATGCAGCAGCACACATCCGTAATTGCAGTGACTCAGGAGGTTGAGGCAGGAGGCTCCCCAGCTCAGTGGTAGCATGCCCCGGGGTCAGTCCCTAGTACCACACACAAAAAGCGTGTGCAGTTAAATGTGGAATCTCTTCCCCAATGTTGTGTGTCCACAAAATTTTCCCATCAGGGTGTAAGACTCATTCAGAAAGCGAAATATTGAGTTCAGCACGTACATACTCTGCATTGTAAATTTGTATTTAATATCTCAGAAATGCTAGTCAAAAGGGAAATCAACAAGTTTAAGATGCCACACTGTTAATTTCCATTTCATCAGTGATCTTGGCAATGTTAGATTAACTCAGGAGCTAGAGGAACACGGGAAAGGCTTTCTCTGTGCACTCCAGAGCTGGTCCAGAAGGGGCACCTCACTTTCATGTTTTTTGTGCTGACCCCTGAATATATACTGACCATGCAGATGTCTGCCTCAGCCCAGGTGGAACATACCAACTGGTGCCAGGCCCCCCTCCAGAAGAACCACAGTCCATCCTCAGCACTAAGGGCAAATGTCACAAATTCTGCCACCCCCGCCACTGCCTTGGCCTGGATCCTCCATGCTGCCGAGCACAGGTCTGATCTCCCTCAGCCCAGAATCCTCCTACAGACCCGCTGGGCCATCACTTTGAGAGGTCTGTGAGGCCAGAAAAGGGCCTTAAGGTTGGACTTCTTGGTGAATAACGACAGAGTATGATTTCCCACCTGGGTGACACTGCAGTCCCTTGGATTCATGCAGGGAATCTCACATCGTCTATCAAAGATACAGAGGGACCTCGCTGTCGGGGCAGCATGCTTTGTAGAGTGAGCCCTGTGAGTTCACCAGACCAGGCCTGGCAACTGGCCTGTGGGCCAATCTGGTGACACATGAAAATCAAATTCCAGTGTCCATAAATAAAGCCCTAACAGAACAGTCCCATCTGGTTGTTATGCTGCTTTCGTGCATTACTGAGTTGATTAGTTGCAATAGCTTAATTCACTAGCTGTCCCTCTACAGAGGGTGTTTCTGATAGAGACCAACGTCTTGATTTTACAGGTAGGAGAAGCCAAGTTGGCAGAGGGCATGAGCTTCATCCAAACCYGCACGGCTGGAGGTAGTGGCCGCAAACTGAACTTTGACTCAAGTAGTTCCTGCCAAACCCAAGGCCTTCCCTGGCTGACCAGCCTCCCTGCGCCAGCTTGTCCTCTGACCCCCACCCTCCTTTGACACTATACACTTCCACCACACAGATGCCACTGAATCCTTTACTAACACACCAGCTGGCGCAGAGCCATCAGGGGGTTACCCGCCAGGAGTAGAGGAGGAGGGCAGCCTGGCAGAGCGCATCACACTCCAGGTTGGCCAGGAACAGCACCTTCAGCTTTGTTTCCACGCAGCTCTTCTCCTCCAGCCTGTTGGCCAACAGGGCGGCAGCTGATTGGTGGAGGAGCCAGCTAATCATCTTGTCTAATTTCAGATTCTTCAGGGCTAGGATGTGCTCGCCCCAGAGGCTCAGATGAAGCACGTTTGCAGCTACTCGGGCAGATGGTCTCTGCAACAGGAAGGGAAGCTGAGGCTCAGGACAGCACCTACTTTGTTAGTGTCCCTTCTCTGGCCCCAATCCAAGTCTCCCTCTGCCCTGCCCCTTCCTGAGACCCTTCCCTCTGCTGACACATACTGGCAGCTCTGCCCAGGCTCCAGGCCTTTGCAAATGTATAGCTGTGAATGGCCGCCAGTGCAGCGTTGGGATGGCCTTTGGGCACGGAAGGCCAGTGGGTATGGCTCTGTCTGGTCCCTTGTACCAGGCTGGGGTATGCAGCCCCTCATCACTTGATAACTGGGTTCAGGCACTAGTCTAACAGGCCTTCACTGAGCACCTGCTGTGACCAAGACAGCAGGCCCTGTGCAGCGAGAGGTCAGCAGGAAGCGGTGCGACAGCAGCTGAGGCTGCCTCAGCTCCTTCCACTAAGGAGTGCACCTGCTGCTCCAGTATGGCTTCAAATACACTGGCCTTTGTGTCTCTTTACAGTAACTTCCAGATCCGCTCTGGAGTTGTATTCTCACATCTCTCTGTTTAGATCTCAGCTGTTTGCATAGGTTACGTCTCCATTAACCATTTCTCAAAAATGCATCCTCTTCCCTCTGAGTAGCTAAGAAACTAACCAAGCCCAGAAGGGCTGGGGATGCAGCTCAGTGGGGGCACACTCGTCTGACATGTGTGAGATCCTATTTTGAATCCCTGGCACAGCAAAAAGTAAAACAGAATTAAAAAGCCAAGAAGAGTTGAACTGCTGGAATTCTGACTAGATCTGGTGGCCAGCTCCCTTGCTTCTGTTCATTCAAAATAGATCTGTGTTCTGGACTTGGCCTTTACCTGTGCAGTACAGAGGCTCTGCCTGGTGCCTTAGCATTTGTCCAAGTCTGAGTTTGCTCTAGAGCGTGAACTGAGATCCAGAGTCACCCTGAGAGCCGGGGGACAGCCTCACCTTGCTGGTCTCTCGCTGGAGCAATGCCCTCACCAGCTGCCTGGTGTCCAGAGGCACCGACTCGGGCAGTGCTGGTAGTTGAGTCTCTTGGTAACTGCGGCTTTCAAGGTGGGCCCTGCCCTGGCCGTAAAAGGGATTGGCGAGCCCRAAGATTTCATAGGCGATGGCTCCCACTGCCCAGGCGTCGGCCTTGCTGTAGTCAATCACTGCTCTGGGGCCAGGACAGGCTGTGGACACCTGCTCGGGAAGTGGAGGATGAGAGGTYATGCCACTGGCAGGTTTACCTGTTCATGCTCCTGTGTTGTCACCCAAGCCTGGGGCTAATCTGAACTCTCAAGGAGCCCAGGAYCAAGTGACTTTTGGCTTAGACCTAGAAGATCTGCTGAGGCTGCCGACTGGATGCTGGCAAAACAGACACTGGGAACAGCAGGGAGACCCAGGTTAAAGCACCGTGACAAGGAGGGAACCTGGGGTCTCTTCTGTCACTTACGGAGAACATGGTGAAACACTTCTGATGGAGGATGCTAATGGTGAGACTCACCTCTGGAGCCCTGAGGCAGCCGTTCCCGCCCAGGTCCACGTACCAGCTGGTGAAAGGCAACTGCAGGCCCACACGCTCATCAGCCAGGCAGCAGCCAAAATCAGAGATCACCAACCAGGGGCAGCCGTCTGTGAAGGAGCAGGCAGAGGTAAGCCACCCCTTCTCACCCTTCTTCCCTCTCAGACCCTCCCAGGTCCCTATGAGAGCCACCAAGACATGGGTCAGTGAGCTAACAGGGACTGTACTGGCCCAGGAGTGCAGACCAGCAAGGCCTGGATGGAGCTGGCTCACCCAGAGCAGAATAGGAGAGCCACGCCAGGGATGCGGAGGTGCCACTCAGGAGAAAAGGCCCACAGAGTCCCCAGGCAAAAGACTAGATAAAAGTTGGCCTCCATCTAAGTAACTGTCTAATGATTGATTTTCTGGTAATTGGGGTTGTCCCAAGACCAGGGGAGCTGGCTTGGCTCCAATGATCCCTAAGGACACTTCTACCCCAGGAGTCTTGCATCTGAATTTGAAACCCTAATAAATCTAAAAAACAGGTGCATTAGGAATTGGTTATTTGTAAAAAGAATTCAAATGGTTTCTTTAAAAAGCTAGGTTTTTTAGTCTTTTAATTGCACATTTAATTCTTTTAAATCTTCCATTTCAAGAATTTATCAGATGTGTGAATCTCCTTTGCAGCATCTTGGGCACGTGGCTTCTGCCTGAATGCTTCTGGGATTGGAAGCTCATTGCTTCCAGGGGCAGTTGGGCTGGCACTTGGACAACTCTTGCTATTTGAAAACTGTTTTTTGTTTTCTTTGTTTTATTGAGCCAAAGATCATCTTTCTTCTACTTTATTCAAGAAAAATTCAAATAAAGTTTTTTATAATAATACAAAAAATAGTAAATGCAGCACTAGGTTCTTGTTCCAGAAGTGGCAATGGGGAGGGACTTGGGAGCCATTACAGAGAGCCTGCCTCTGGAGGAGGGGCTGCTTGTCTCATGTGAATGGAGCAAAGTGAGGATAAGATGACTTAGGACAGAGCATAAGAATCAAAACGGACCCTGAGGGTCCTAATGCCCCAGCTCCCCGCAGTGCCTGRGGGTAGGCCAGAGCCTACCTGCGTCCAGCTCCACCAGAATGTTGTCCGACTTGAGGTCTCTATGTGCGATGCGCTGCTGGACCAAATGGTCCACGCCTTCCAGTAACTGCAGGGTCATCATGGTGGCCAGGCGGGGACTGGGAGTGTTCACACGCAGGTACTGGCGCAGGGTACAGGGGTAGCTGGTGGGAGGTGACAGAACCTGTGGCCGTCATACAGCATGGCCCCAGCACCTAGGTCAGTTAGGATCAGGCCTCTCCTCTCCCCCTCCTGAGGGCTTTTTATTTCCTTTTTCTCACATATTCTTGTGGTCCCCACCCACCCACTGTGCTGACATTAGGAAGGGCTGTGGCTCCACGTGTTCAGAGTGTTGGTGAGATAGTTCCTTCGGCCAAGGGGGAGGAGGAACTACTGTTTCAGGGCCAGGTGAGCCACAGAGAAGCGCCAGGAGCACCAGTGAACAGTGTTCTGAAGGTAACATTTTGTTTTCAAGAGAAATCATCCTAAAGCCAGGTCCATGCGCACTCTGCGCCACTTATGCTAACCCTAACCCTAACCCTAATCCTGAAGCCCCAGGGAAAGCCTCCGAGGGCAGGGACCAACTCCCATTGTGAAGACAGATAGCTCCTGGATCCTGCTACTTCTTCTTTTTTTTTTTTTTTAATATTTTTTGGTCGTCAATGGACCTTTATTTTATCTATTTATATGCAGCGCTGAGAATCGAACCCAGTGCCTCACACATGCTAGGCAAATGCTCTGCCACTGAGCCACAACCCCAGCCCCCTCTTTTTTGCCACTTACTTTTTCATAACGAGGAACAGCGTGCGTCTATGGCCCAGGCCTTCAGGGTGCAGACAAGGGGGCAGCACGTCAGGGTAGTCCGTCAGGGCCCCCGGCAGCAGCGGCACAGAGGAGGTGAAGGCGCGGACAACCCGGATGATGTTGGGGTGAGGAGCTAGCTGCTTGAGACCTCCCTTGGATTTTCTATTCAGCCAAATGGGACACATGTATCAGAGACACCAGTTGGAAAAATAATGATCTAAGGCCACAGCAAATACAGGTTTTCATTTATCTACTTATTTATTTACTAAATATTTACACGTTTGCCATGTTCTAGGTTTTGTACGTGGTGTTGGGGTCAAAACCCTGATGYAGATGGCTGACCACATTTGATGGCTCCCCCAATCCCTCCTTCAGCCCATCTGTCCCTCCCTCCATCTCCATCCCTCTCATGTAGCAGAACACAGTGGTGGAAAGACCCTGGTGTCATCTTGGGTATGAACGGCAGGTGTGCGCTGTGGGTCCTTGGCCAAGTTACAGTGCAAAGGGGTCTAAGGTAGTAACATCCACATGAGGTTGTTAAAACACATAAAGTACCCAAAATCACATTCAGCAGAGCAAACAGCAAGTATTGGCTGTTATGATTTTTTTAAAGTTTTTTCTTTTTAGTTGTAGATGGACACCTTTATTCTATTTGTTTTTATTTTTATGTGGTGCCAGGGATCGAACCCAGTGCCTCATGCATGCTAGGCAAGCGCACTGTCACTGAGCCACAACTGAGGCCCTAACTGTTACAATTTTTTGATTCAACTAATGTCTACTGTTTTCATACTGTGTGCTGGACATTGTGCTAGTGTGTGGCGCAGCTAATCAGAGGACAGGCAGAGGCCCTACCTTTATGGGTTTGTGATCTAACAGGAAAGCGATGCTCATTGAGTAATTATTTTAGCTCTGTAAGGACAGGGACCTTGCCTAAGTTGTCTCC